AGGCACGACAGGCCCCCCGCCCGCCCCTGGGGACCCAGCGGCTTCGTGTGGGTGGCACGTTGGCGGTGGGGATGGGATGAGAGCAGGACCAGCCCCAGCTACGTGATGTCGTCCCAGCCAAGGCTGTGTGTAGACGGGTCTTAAAAACCGCCGAGGACGGAGATTGCGGCACCGCTCTGGGGAACCCCTCCCAAGGCTTCGCCACCCGCCGAGGGACAGAGTTGTCCCTAATATCCAACCTCAACCTCCCTCGCTGCCACTTCGGCCCGTTGGCTCCTTGTTCTGCCCCTGCTCCATCCTCTTCGCTCCAAGGCTCCCTCCTGGTTGGACCAGGGCATCCTACCTGAGGCAGGATCAGTGCTTATCCAAACCGGGGAAGGGTGAATTAGTAGTGGCGACATCCTCCCTGAGGATACGTATTTGCACAGAGCCTCCCAGCTCCGCTTGTCACGCTCACGTGATGCTCTTGAGTATCTCTGCCGATCGGGGAATTTTTAAGAGCGCTCGAGCCACCTCGAGTAGTAGCCATGAAACCTCCCGCAGCAGGGCTGGCCTGCGGACGTTGCAGCCGGGTGACGTCCTTGCAATCAGTGATGCTCTAATATTGCTCTTTCTTCTGAAGCAGCTGCCAAAGAAAGCAGCGATTCCTAGGCAGGCATTCCCACCTCCCCGTTGAAGGCAAGGCTGAGGGAGAAATGTGTTCAGCTACTGAATTAATTCATATGTGCCAAGCGCACTGGAAGGCTTGGATGACACCAACGCTACAAGTGCAACATATTTTTATTAATAATATTTCCTGATAAGCACTGAGAGTGCGTAAGAAAATAAGTCGTCATTAGGATGGCCAAATTCTCTCTCCACTTTTTCCCTCCTTGCACTATTTATACAAGCACTCGATGTGTGGCTTAGGGATATATTAGCACACGCTGTATGCATTTCCTTGACAACATATGAGCGGTAGGTTTGAATGATTGCTTCTGAAAATGAGCTGATCATTAAAAATAAGGTGTTTTCCAAAAAAGAAGGTAACAGTAATATTGATTGGGTTATAAGAAATTTCTGCAAACAAGAGCCTTGGCACTAGGAGGCAGAAAACCATGTCTGATTCATTTGATTTCTCCTGCGTCCAGGAAAACAGGACTGAATAAGCAAGAGTGCATTAAAAAAATCCCTGACTTCATCACTTATTTCTCCTCCTAAATGGAGCCACTTACTTAACCTTGAATTTTGGCCAGCAGTAATAATCCTTTTGCTTTAAAAATGCATGCACTCGTGGGAGCTTTATCAGTCTAAAGCATTTGTGCAATATGCATTTTATATTCTGTATAAGCCACAGCTAAAAAAAAAACCAGTGTATCATCTTGCTAGGGGAGAATAGCACACTTTAAAATAAAACACTAGGGATATGTAGATATCAACTCATGGAATTAAAACATTCAGCATTTTCTGTTATTTAGGTTCTTTAGTCATATATCTGGACAGGTTCACTAAATTCTTTTTGAGTCTGCAGAGATAGCCTTAGTACCTCTCGCTGCAGCCGTAGTAGGATGAAATTGCTGGAGTACAGTAGTAGGATGAAATTTGGGGTCATTTTCACTGCTGTCAAAACACTGCTCAGCAGTGAACGTACCCCAGAGGATGCCGGCTTCATCATCTTTACTTGGGAAAATGATGAGCAACCACACTGGAAAGCACTGAGAAGGATCCAAACTGTAGGAGGGGGGAAGACAAGTAGGAAGGTATTTCATTAGAGTATCTTAGGAAGGCTAAAAAGCTTTTTGATACATAGAAGAGATACTTTATTTACACCACTAGTAGACAGAATCCGATATGCTAGTTAGGACCCTGAGTGAGGTCCAGGGATAAATTTTCTTCCTTTCAGTAGTTGGAGAATTAATATTATTATTCTAATAATAATTTCTTACTAGAATTTTGTTCCCGAGTTTCTTTCAAGAGCATTTTTATAACTGCCTCTGGTTGAGAGGTAAATGGTTCAAGTCCAGCACAAGTTAGAAATGAATGCATTTTATTTGGTAAGTTTATCCTCTCATTTAATAGACTCTAGCGAGCTCCCAGAAGGAAACCGAAAGCATTTATTTTCCTATAGATTCCTATAGTCTCTGTACCAAAATCATTCAGCACTACCGACAGCTAAAACTATGTTTATTTCTTTGCACTCACCAATCTACATGCCAGCTTCGCGCTGAATACAATCGCCGACTGGCAGAAGCGGACATGGTAGAAAAACATATCATTCAGGCCCGAGCTCGAGCAACAGCAGAAGAAGAAAGGACCCTAAATATGCTGAAAGCAGATGCTGGAGAGGACTTCCAGTACCTTGATTTGCCCCCAGGTGAGGTTTCTGAGGGTGATATGTATACCAGTGCTCATTTATGGGATCCTGAGCACAGTCAGCGGTCATGTAAGTCACTGGGAAGAATCCCATTGACTTTAGGGGCTTTGGATTGTGCACTTTATGATTGTAAGAGTCTAATATTCTTAATAGAAAGTGAGAAGCTTTGAGAAGCTGTGAGCAGAGAATCAAAATAAAATATCTAACCTTGCCTTGTGAGAAACTCATTAGCAGGTCACTTTCGGGACCTGAAACTTGCCACTAGTGGCTTTCTGCCTAAACTTTTCTGAAACCCAGTGTAAACTGCTATACACAAATAATTCAGTGATTTGCCACAGGCTATTGAGCCAAGAGTCAGAAAGGAGTGCAGGATTATGAGATTTCCTGGTTCTCTTGTTGGGGCTGCTGCTGGTGTTGCAGTCAGCGTTGCCGACGTGTGTTCCCTCTGAAGGCTTTTCTGTTTTAGAAACGATGCCCACAGGCTCAGTTTGGTGATGAAAACTCAGTCAGGCTTATTGTCCACCAAACACCTAATCACTAACAGGTTCCCAGGGGCTAATACTGGATGCTCATGCCCCCTTCAACTAACACAAAATGTCAAGATGTTCCTGTTCTCTTTTATACAATGATCACAACAAATCACATATTGCATTCTGTCTTTCTTATACGCCCATCCGGTACCTAATGAACGTCCGGTTCCCTGTACATCCCCTCTTTATCTTGTGCGTTTAGGCCATCCTCTACCAGCTTCATTAGTAGCTTTATTAACTGACTTTGTGATGGGTCTGGTTAACTGTTACCAGTCCTCAAATGGTGAGCGTGCAGTCCTAAGATGCTGCTCAGGTTATTCAGCAGTTGGTGCTGGTTCAGCAAGACTTACAGTTGCTTTAATGAGGCCTACATTCCCTTCCTTTTTGCCTTTTGTGAGGATGTCTACCCATCATCCCATCCCAGAAGAGCCTGATGTATGGATTGACGCTAACCCAGCGGGCTAGACACTTTTGTGGTTATCTTATTATGCCGATCCATACACTCATGCTCCGTTGGCCGACATTAATGGTCTGCACATTCCCTCGTACAACCTGTGGATGTTTTTATCCAATTAATTGTCCCATATATTGAGCCTGGGAATGTTAGTTCCAGGACTTCAATTGAATGGTGCTGTTCTGTTACTTAACAAAGGAGAGCCTTTGCGCAAATTGCATGTATGGGGGTTAGCTATGGGAACCTAGGCTTCCTTTGTGCATGTTGTTAAGTTATGAATTTCCATGTCTAGCTTTGTCACTGATTAATTAGTAAATGACTTGCGTTGTCTGGGAAGTGGTAAGGTCAGTTAGAGTGCTTGTATTACCTGTAGGCTAAAGAGCATGGGGCATTTGTTGGACTTAAATCCTTCCCAATTTCCTAGGCAAGTTTTTTTCTGCACCTTTTCCTGCACATGAAGTGACACTCCTATGATACTCCTTTAGCTATATTACCACATTTACTCATTACTCTGCACCAGGCAGGCCCAAGTTTTTTCTGTATTGTTGACACTAACAATGGTATAGCACTCGCAGAGCAACCATCCGTTGTCTTTGGAACAACAAGCCTGGCTGATTTTAGAACCTGTTTCAGTTACTAAATGAACAGTAGGGTAGTGTTGCACATAGGTGTCCTTTACAAAAATTCCCATGCTATTAGTATAATATACCCTTACTAGAGGAGTCGTCTATCTGGGAACTGCCATTAGGATTTGGAGACTCCCCTCTGTTTAAGAAGATGGAATAAGATAACATTTTTAAAATCTTGGGCAATTAGATGCATATCATCAATTATTATTATTGATTAGTGTTGATTGAGCAACAAACTGATAATGCCTCTTTTTCCCCCTGCTCTATCACATTAAATATTCTGTTTATTTTTAAATGTAAATGTTTAATATGTCCAGCGTTCTGTAAGGACATGCCAGGCCCAGAGCATCCTACTTCATATCCATAATGCTTCTCTTGGAGTGAATTGGAAATGCTCAGGGTTGAAGCTCAGTATTGATTTCTGTGTTAAACCATTTTTGATAACCTTTAGGACACTGTGGATGTAGTGATTTGGGAAAAATTGAGTGGTAATGATCTTCACACAAAACCCATGATTGTTCAGCATCTAGAGAGACAAAACTACCGCCAGTCTATGATGGAGATCTCTTTTGCAAACTTAGGTTTCTACT